CTGCTGGGGTGAATGGGAAGGTCTTTGAATCAACAACGTATGGTGGTGGTAGTAGAAGTAGTAGAAGTAGTAGTAGTAGTAGTAGTAGTAGTAGAAGTAGTAGTAGTAGTAAAGTAGTAGTAGTAGTAGTAGTAATAGAAGGAGTAATAGTAGTAGAAGTAGTAGTAGTAGTAGTAGTAGTAGTAGAAGTAGTAGTAGTAGAAGTAGTAGTAGTAGTAGTAAAGTAGTAGTAGTAGTAGTAATAGAAGGAGTAATAGTAGTAGAAGTAGTAGTAGCAGTATTAGTAGTTGTAGTAGTAGTAGTAGTAGTAGTTGTAGTAGTAGTAGTAGTTGTAGTAGTAGTAGTAGTAAGAGTAGTTGTAGTAGTAGTAGTAGTAGAAATAGTAGTAAAAGTAGTAGTAGTAGTTGCAGTAGTAGTTGTTGTAGTAGTAGTAACTGTTGTAGTAGTAGTAGTAGTTGTAGTAGTAGTAGTAGTAGTGGCGGTGGTAGGAGTATTGTGTAATGGTTGGGAGTGGTGCTGGTGGTATGATAATGGCGAAAGATAATGGTGATGGTAAGGAGGAGGAGGATGGTGGTGGTGGTCATCATGATGATGTTGATGATAATGATGATGAGGGTAAGTAATAATAATGATAAGTATGATAATTTTATTTATATGTATGTATGTATGTAAGTGTATATGTATGTATATATATATATATATATACATATATACATATATATGTGCATATTTATCTATCTATCTATCTATATGTGTGTGTGTGTGTTCATTTATATATATGTATGTATGTATGTAAGTATATATGTACGTATATATATATATATATATATATATATATATATATATATATATATATATATATATATATATATATATATATATACATGTATATATCTAGTACCTTAGAGAGAGAGAGAGAGAGAGAGAGAGAGAGAGAGAGAGAGAGAGAGAGAGAGAGAGAGAGAGAACGAGAGAGAGAGAGAGAAGAGAGAGAACGAGAGAGAGAGAGAGAGAGAGAGAGAGAGAGAGAGAGAGAGAGAGAGAGAGAGAGAGAGAGAGAGAGAGAGAGAGAGAGAAGGGAGAGTAGATAAACACATTTATCACTATCTTTACCCATGCATCAAAGAATACACAGGCAATATATATCACTCAGTGTATAAGCAACTTCACAGACCAGACATTCCTACACTTATATCAGTTCTTCACTTATCTAGAAACGTACAAATAACCAAGTATCATATCACAATTAAAACCATAATCAGACAACAAACTAGCCCCGAATAAAAGAAGTAAAAAACGGTAGACATAGCAATAATCATAATAATAATAGAATGAATTGACGAGAAGGTCAGACTGGACAAGAGTAGAACCCAAAGAGCTGTCTCGTCATCATGGCAGACATCGGAAGGATAACATCTTGAAGATAATTGTTATTAATTGGCTCTTCTTTGTGATCCTGTAGACTGACGATTGGTGTGGTAGACATGAGGGTAGTTGCTTCCATGGTGGTAGAGGGTCTATGTCATTCCCTAGACATATTTTCTTTCTTATTTCTTTTCTTTGTTTTGAAGGTCCATGAATACACAGGTATAGTAGATACAGTCATGAATTTAAGGTACTAAATAGTAGAACTATATCTGCGTATTTGCTGTAAATACGATCTTATTATTCCATTCGTTCTCGTGTGAAAATTCAAGCCAATTAAGATTAAACTGCATATCAGCCAACTCTTAACCACATGGTGTACTGTATGACTGATTCTGCTAAAAGCATCATGCCACGCCTGACCGGACCTTGTTTACAGTGTTGCGCACACAGACCTCCTTCTCTGCAATATTTTTCGTACGTCTAGCAATCCTCAAAAAAAGTTTATCGAAGACGAAGAGGTCAGAAACATTTGAATTAAAGTAGAAAAGGGAAAATTTCTTATAGTTACCCTATATCTTCATAAACAAAATAATGCAGTCTATTTAATACTGTACATCCCCCCATCGCCTCTGTACTTTGCAACTGCAGCGTCGACGAAGGACTTCCCAGCGGACCTCATGCGTGGCCATGACCTTCAGCCTGTTGACTGCTTTTATCTAGCCAGAAAGGAAGGTCTTATATAAGGATGGCAGATGGAGAGGTTCAAGTTATGTATGTTTGAGAGGTTGTGTGTGTGAGAGAGAGAGAAAAGATATATATATATATATATATATATATATATATATATATATATATATATATATATATATATATATATATATATATATATATATGGATAGATAGCTACATAGATAGATAGATAGAGAAATGGGAGCGAGCAGAGAGAGGGATAGATATTTAGATAGATAAATAGATAGATAGAGAAGAGAGATAGAGAAAAAGGGAGGGGGCGAGTAGAGAGAGGGATATATATATAGAGAGAGAGATAGATAGATAGATAGATAGATAGATAGATAGATAGATAGATAGATATAAACAGATAGATAGAGAAGAGAGAGTGGAAGATAGATAGACAGATAGATAGATAGACAGATATAAACAGATAGATAGAGAAGAGAGAGTGGAAGATAGATAGACAGATAGATAGATAGACAGATGGATAGAGAGAGAGAGAGAGAGAGAGAGAGAGAGATAGATAGATAGATAGATAGAGAGAGAGAGAGAGAGAGAGAGAGAGAGAGAGAGAGAGAGAGTAAGAGAGAGAGGAAGGGGGCAGATGAATAGATAAATGGAGAGTATGCATCTGTTACCCTCACCCCTTCTATCCTTATTAAAAATGGTCACCCTACTGGACTAGTGCACAGCCATTGTAAGTAGTGGGTGATGTTACAGATTGTGTGATGTTACCAACTGTATAATCGTTATGCTAATGAAGCGCTTTTACGTAGTCGTATCGAATGGCCCGCGTTGTATCTGCGTCAAAGTCTCAGTGCCAGACTATGTTGCAGTGCCATTGCTATCTATGCACTCTGCAATATTTGAGAGTTGCAAGGGAAGGGCGAACCCGCACAGGATATTATTACTTATTTCGGTGTCTGCATCTTTCGTCACAAACAAGCTGGATAACTTGTAGTAGAGAAGACGAACTGTTCTGTGACTTTTTCACGGACCAAAAATGTCAGTGTTGTAAATAAATGTTTAATGGATATTTGAGAACTTGTATTATTGTTTGTATTTCGTAAGGAGATATATTTATAAGCTAAAGGAAATGGTAATATTAATAATAGCGATAATGACGGTGATGGTGACGATAGTAATTATGGTGATGATAGTGATGAGGATGATTACGTCGATAGTGATGATGATGATGAGGAGGAGGAAGAGGAGGAGGATGGTGATGGTGATGATGATGATTATGAAGATGATGACGATGGTGATGATGATGATGAGGAGGAGGATGGTGATGATGAGGAGGAGGTAGTAGAGGAGGAGGAGGATGGTGATTATGATGATGATGATGTTTATGATGATGATGAGGAGGAGGAAGAGGATGGTGATGATAATGAGGAGGAGGAGGAAGAGGAGGATGGTGATGATCTTTGGCCATACGTCATGGCTACACACTCACACCGCTCAAAACCCTACTGACAGAGTGCACGAGTGGAGATCGCTATAGCCATTCTTGCTTCCGAAGGGGGGACTTCAGAGAAACCATGAAAATGAAATACTGGTACCATAAGGCCTATATTTATTATCGTCAAATAAATCAGTGATAATAAGAAGCCAATTTTTAATCGATTTCTGTTATTTTTATTTTATACTTTGAAAGAATTGTGAATGATTAATCCTATTTGTGACTGGCGGGGTAATTTATCGATATTTTCAGGTGATTTTCCAAAGCTATAATACCTGACTATCTTATTGCCATAGTATTTTTTGTTTTTTTTCAAACAACAAGAGGAATATGAAACCACTTAAACTGATCAGTGACTCCTCGCCAACTGCCTTGTAAGCCAAACAACAAGCGAATGAAGTAACACTAGATTTGTTTATTCTTCGTCGTGCTTCCCGGCATGCCTTTGACTTCACCCACATCCGCTCTCACTGTAAAAGTAGACAACCTTTAAGCTAAGCATATCTGGCCGTCTATTTCTCCCAATGAGAAGGGAGATGGATTTCCCAGCATTTCAACTTTTAAAAATGAGACAATGGAAGTCGAGGAGCAACAGCAACACGAATCCATTTCATTATTACTTGACTTGTGTGCTGGACTGGTTTGCATCGACGATTCTATGTTGCATGTGCGAAGATTTCCCTACGAACAGAAGCGTGAAAGTCTCGAGGTGTAAACATATACCTTGGAACTCTGTCTGGAATTTCCTGTAGGCTCAGAAACAAAACACTACATGTGGAAGACTGGTGAACGCGCGGTCTAATTGAAGTGGCCTTATATTTTCATGCTAACAACATTTTAGGTATTCAGGCATGAAAATTCTAATAATATGACATCATCCACAATATACATGCGTGCCATGTATATGTGTGTATATGTGTGTGTGTGTGTGTGTGTGTGTGTGTGTGTGTGTGTGCGTGTGTGTGTGTGTGTATGTGTGTGTGTGTGTGTGTGTGTGTGTGTGTGTGTGTGTGTGTGTGTGTGTGTGTGTGTGTGTGTGTGTGTGTGTGTGTGTATGTGTGTGTGTGTATGTGTGTGTGTGTGTAAGTATGCATGTATGTATATATATACATACATACATATATATATGTATATATATAGATATATAGATGGATAGATAGATATATAGATAGATAAATAGATATAGATATAGATTTAGATATAGGTATATAGATATATATATGAATGTATATACACATATATATGTATGTGTACACACACACACACGCACACACATACATCTATGTATATATATATATATATATATATATATATATATATATATATATATATATATATATATATATATGTATATATATATATATATATATATATATATATATATATATATATATATATATATATGTATATATATATATATATATATATATATATATAT